GAGACGATTAGCAGGCAGGGTTGGCCCGGAGGGTGGGCTGATTCTGCCTCTGCCACCCCAGCTGCAACACATGCCTTTGGGCTCTGAGATGGAATCCGTGTCCCCTCCTGGTATAATGCCTTCCCGTGGCCGCCACGTGTGGCTTTGCACAGGACCTGAGCCAGCCGTGCGCATGGAGCTGCTCTGGGCCCCTGTGGCTGACCCCTCTCTTCCGCAGCTGAAGTCCTTCCTCCGGGAGTGCAAGGTGGCCAACTACTGCCGGCAGGTGCAGCAGCTGCTTGGGAAGGTTCAGGAGAACTCGGAGCACATCTGCAGCCGCCGCCAGAGGGTCTCATTTGGCGTGTCTGACCAGCAGGCAGTGGTCAGTGGGCCCTGGGGGGCAGTGCCAACACCTGCCAGGGTATAGCTGGGATGTGGGGGTTTGCCCAGGGTCAAGCATGACCCTGAACTCCCCCAACACCCCAGGAAGCCTGGGAGCAGCTGACCCGGGAAGAGGGGACCCCACTGACATTGTACTACAGCAGCTGGCGGAAGCTGCGGGACCGGGAGATCCAGCTGGAGATCAGCGGCAAGGAGCGGGTGCGGCTCGGGGCGGGGTCCTGGGGGACGGGCGTGTGATCCGCTGGGTTTTAGAACCAGTGCCAGTTAGGGTGGGGTCTGGGGGTGTGGTGTGATTTGCTGCGTTTCAGATCTAGCTCATTATGACTTGAGACTTGAGGCCAGGCTGAGGGTTTGGAAGCAGTGCCAGGCGGCAGGGGCCGTGGTGCTGGGCTTCCCTGATGGGGCATTGCCCCAGGTGGTTCAGCTTGGAGAGGGGTAGGTGTTGCAGAACCGGCCAGAGCCAGGAGTTTCCAGGGAGGGGAGGCCACACCCCCTCAGGCCTGATGGGCTCGGTGCTCTGGGCGGTAGCGTGGCTGGACTGACCTCAGCGTCCAGGCCGGCGTGTGGGCAGCAGGGGGAGGTGGGGCCAAGCAGGAAGGGCTCTGCTTTTGACCTTGGACATGGGCTGAGTAACTTGGAGGGTGGCTTTGTGCTGATTTGGGAACAGCAGGGGCTAGAAATTGGCCACAGGGTCCTGGTGGTGGGTCTGGTGATGCCCGTCTCTGCTGTGGCCGTCAGCCCCTGCCTGCTCCTGAGGCCCTGACTCCTTGCCCTTCCAGCTGGAAGACCTGAACTTCCCTGAGATCAAACGTAGGAAGGTGGCCGACAGGAAGGACGAGGACAGGAAGGAATTTAAAGACCTCTTTGACCTGAACAGCTCTGAAGAGGATGAGGATACGGAAGACTTCTCAGAGAGAGGTGGGGCCTTTGAGGTGCTTCCAGGGAAGAATGGGCATGACGGCTCTCCGGGACTTCCCAGAGCCACAGGGCCACTTGCACCCACCCTGCAGGGCTCACAGCCTCTGGCCCAGCTGGGGCCAGCCTGTTACCCAGGCTTCTGGTGCAGGCTCCCTCCCTCTTTGGGATAAAGGCCTACTGGGATTGGTAACCCGTCCCCCCAGGCCTGTGACCTCCCATTTCTCTCCAGTAACCCTCTCCGCCAGTGGAGGGAAGGCAGCCAGCAGGGGTGCAAGCCTGGCCACCTTCCTGCCTTTGCTGGTCGACCCTGTGGGTGGGAGTCACATGGCTCTGCTCCTTGTTCCCCAGGGATACTGGGGCCCTTGAGGACTCGGCATGGAGTGGAAGAGAAGGAAGAAGAGGACGGCGAGGAGGAGGAGGAGGGAGACAGCGGCAGCTCCGAGGGTGAGTGGTCTTGGTGTGAGGGGTGTGGCCTGTAAGCCCGTCAAGGGGGGGACTGAGCAGCGGTGGGTGGGAGAAGGGGGCTCTGGGCCAGGCTTCCCCCTCCCCAGGGAGGTCTGGCCAAATGCTCTGTTCTTTCCAGCTCTGGCAGCCAGCAGCAGCGGCAGGGATAAATTAATTAGTGCCGTGATTAATTAGTGATGAGTAACTTCCAATGCTGGCTTCTTCCTGATAAAGCAGAATTTATGTAGCCTCTGTCTCTCCCCACAGATGGAGGCCCAGACGCAGAGGCGGGGTTTGCCCCTGGGGAGCTGCAGCGGCTGGCCCAGGGGCCGGAGGACGAGCTGGAGGATATGCAGCTCTCGGAGGAGGACTGAGGCAGCCCATCTGGGGACCTTCGGGGGCTGGCGGCCAGTGTTGCCACCTCTCTGGCAGTCAGGCCCAGAGGCTCGCGTCTGTGCAGCTGGGGGAGGCAGTAGAGTGGACAGGCTTTATTCATTTTTCAGCATGAAAGCCCAAACGCCCTGGGTGGCTGCCAAGGAGTAGAACCAGCACCTTGGGGCCTGCCTCCTGCCAGAGCCCCACAGCTGTGCGCCGTTTAAGTCACCCCACCCCCAGCGGGGTGTGGGGGGAACCTGACCTGGATATCAGGTGCAGACCAGTTCCTGGGGAGGCCTGCAGGCCCCTTCCAGCTCCTCTGCCCTAGGTCTGCAGACCTCATTCATCAGCAGCAGGCTCTGCAGTCACCCCTACCCCATCTTTGGAGATTTGTTCATTTCCTTTGAAGTCATGTTTTCCCTTGAAGCGTTTTTCTTTCTTGCATCCCAAACCAAAAGAAATAAAGCGGTGGGAGGCAGGGCCGTTGCTTCATGTGGTGGCTCCTGGGAGTTGGTTTGCGCCCCCCACCCCTGGCCACCTCAACACAGAGGCTGGGATGGGTCAGGGGCCCCTGGAAGCAGGGCCAAGGTCCCATTCTCCTGCTTGGGCGAAGCTCGGCTGGCAGAGGCGTGGCTCCCTCCGTAGGGGGAAGTGGCGGTCGTGGGAGACAAGGGCTGCTCCCCTGTGCTAAGTTCCCGCTCCGGGGCCCGCAGGGTCGGTGGCTGCAGCGGCAGAGCCACAGGGAAGCTGGCCATGTAGAAGACACGGCCCAGGCGCCTGGCCACCTGCAGAGACAGGGCCTGGTGGGGCTTCCTGAGGGGCTGCTGCACACCCATGGGGGGCTTTGTGTCCAGCTGCGGTCTGGAGGCTGTTCACCGTCCAGCAGCTCACCTGGGCACGGATCTTGAGGGCAGGCCCCAGCTTCAGCCCCATGGTGGTCAGCAGGTGCTCCTCCGTCAGCAGTGGCAGGGTCTCCCCGTCGATCCCCTGCTCCCTGAAGACCTGGAAGAGGGAGGCAGGCTCAGGATCCAGGTGGCTGCTCCATCCTCCAGCCCAGCAGGGCCAAGGAGGGCTGTTTGTGCAGCTCACGGGAATATCTCCTAAAAGATGTGTTGGGTTTGAGTCGACATTGAGTGCAAAAAACGGGCGCAGTCTGGCCCCCTCCGTGCACCCCTTTTACGGAGGGAAAGGGCTTCTGGAATGGCCTTACCATACCATCTTCCCAGGGAAGTCATGAGTGCCAGCCCCACCCCAGGGACTGTGGCCCCCTCCTTACCCGCGTGTATTCTCCGCAGCCAGACAGGCCCCCCACGAAGCTGCAGACGTCATCCACGGTCCACTTGCTGACGTCCTCAGGGGCTGGGGCCTCCTCCCCATCCACGGAGAGTCCCCCCACGGTTCCTGAGTTGTGGGGCGTGTTACTAGGGCTCTGGCTGGCTTTCCCGTACCCACCCGTCTTCTGACCTTCGTGTGCCCCAATTGCTCAGGTGTGGGATGGATGCCTAAGGGGCGTTTTCCTCCCCACGGATCCCCTCCCCGCTAGGACCCTTCCACAGGCGATCTGGAAGGATCTAGAGTGTGGGGGTGCCCACCTGTGTGGAAGTAGGGGCTGACGGCATAGGGGAAGCCCAGGGGCAGCGAAGGGGGCAGTGTGGACCCTGAGAAAAGCCCCTTCCCCTCAGCGCCGGCCCCTCCAGCTGGAGCTTGGCCCGGAGTCGGCTCCCGGCATCCGGCAGCTGCCGTCTCGGGGTCCTCTCCGTCCGAGTCTTTGGGGGGCTCGTCCTCGGAGCCATCTTGAGCCCAGAGCCTGGCCCCTGTCATCTCCTTGCCCTCGCCGGGCCGGGCCGAGGCAGAGCCGGGACCCCCTTTCCGGGGGGCTCGCCGGGCCGAATCCCGGGAGGGGGTGGGGGGTCCTGAGCTCGGGGGCCCCTGGGGGGGCAGGGCCAGCAGCGGCGCCGCGCCGTGGTTCAGCACCAGCAGGGCCCCGCGCCGCTGCAGCTCGTCGGCACCGTCGGCGGAGCGCAGGGCGGCCTCGGGCGCCAGCAGCTGCGGGTCCTTCGGCCGCACGAGGTCGGCGGGCAGCTCCAGCCTGGGCCGGGGCAGACGCGGGTCAGCCGCCTCCCGGGCCGCGCCTCCCCGCCCGCCGCCCCGCACCTACCGGGCCAGGTTCTGCTTCCGCAGGAGCTCCTGCTGCCGGACGAACATGTCCGCCTGGGCGGGGGGCAGGAAGCCGTAGCCTGGGGGGACGACGGCGCAGAGTCCCGGGTCCGAGGCTGCGGCCGCCTACCCCGGCCGGCTGGGCTCCCGGGAACCGAAGGCCCCGCAGAACCCGAGGCACGCGCGCCCACCTCCTCACCTGGGGTCTGGCACAGAGCCGAGGGCACCCCCAGAAAGGGGGGCCTGAGCGGGGGGCCCAGGGCGATGTGAGGGGCATTCTGCGGCGACAGCAGAGGGGGCGGCTGCGGCAGCTCCCTGCGGACGGCAGCGCGATGAGGGCGCCCCCGTTCCCGTCCGGGCCCCGCGCCCCCCCCCGCCGCCTCCGCTAATTGCCGGCCCCGCGGGCGGTCGATGCGCAGCTCGTTACCGCCCCGGGTCGCGCGACATCCCCGCCCCCGCCGGCGGCGCCAATTAATCTCGGCGGCGGCGCGGAGGCGCTGACCCCGCGGGCGGCGGCGGCTGCCGCGGTAATTGCTGCGCGCCGCCTGCTCCCCTCCCCTGCGGGCTCGGCGGCGGGGAAACGGGGGCGTCATTAGCCGCAATCCGGGAGACGGCGGGGGCAGCTGCAGATGCCGGGTTCAGGGGCCGGGCGGGGACTCGGTCTCCAGGCGCCCCCTACCGCTTCTCGATGCCCCCAGCCCCGCCGAGTCTCCTGGACCCCAGGAGTCCCCCACACCCCCGCCCCAAGCTCTGAGTCCTCTGGCCGACCCGTCCCGACTGACCCCAGGGTCCCAGACTTGGAGCTGCCCTCTCTTCTCAGGCTTGAGTTCCCGTTCCCGGGCCCGCAGGATCCCCCAGATCTGCCTCAGCCTCCCCCACGCGCCCCCGCCGCGCCGTCAAAACCGCAGCCCAGGGCAGTGTCACTCCCGAAACGTTCTGCCCGGATCCAAAGCTAGACCTGAACACGGTGCTTGGCACACTCGGGGCGCTCATCAGCCGTGCTGAGCGCGTGGGGGTGCGGGCCGCGGGAACGGCCCGCCCACTCCAGGAACAAGCCGAGAACCGCAGCCACCCCAGTACCTCTCCGAGAACGACGGGCCGGCGGCCGGGGCGGCGGCCTCGCGGTGCTGAGCCAGGCCCTGCTTCCGACGCTGACCTGCCGTGGAGGAGGGCAGGTGGGTTTCCAGGCCACTGGGGCTCCTCAGAGCTGCAGCAGCCACCTCCTGCCGGACCCTCAGGAGATCTGGGTGGGGGACAACATCAGTGAGCCCCCCAGCTACTCGACCCCTCCCCAGCCCACGTTCTGGCGTAAACTGAGGTGGGAACTAACCACACCACCCGGCTGTGCTGGGCCCTGCGCTGGTCTCGGGCACCAGGCAGAAGGTTGTCCGGCCACAGGGCCGAGGCCGCAGACCAGAGGCTGGGCGGGGAGGTGTGGGGAAAGGCCCTTCCCTCAGGGGAGCGGGTGCCTGAAGGCCTCTGGCCTGGGAGGAGGCCGGAGCCTCGCAGGCAGGTGCTGTGCGGAGGTCCCGAGGGCGCAGAGCCTGCGGGGCGGCCAGACTGCAGGAGCACCAGCGGGGGCGGACCGCCCAGGGGACCCCCCCTCCTCGAGGGCAAGGAGACGTGGGGTCCCCGCAGTAGACACGGCTGGCAAAAGCTTGCCACAGAGGCAGGGCAGCGCCGGGCCCGGACGGCCCCACCAGCACAGGGGCCGTCCCGTCCCGGCTGCGCACGGTCACCGTCTCGCGTGGCCACACTCGCCCCAATGCCCACGCAGCGCCCGCGGGCGCGCACGTCTAATGCGCCTGGTCCCGGGTCTCTGGGCCCCTCCCTGCCGCCCAGGCCCGGCCTCCCAAGTCCCCGCAGCCCCCACAGTGCAGGCTCCGCCAGCTCCACCGCCGCCTGTGTTTATAAATTAATTACCCGAAAGCGGAGGTGGGTCCCGCCCCGGGCCGGGTGCCAGCCCGCAGAGCCCAGCCGGCGCGGCCGCCCGCATCGATCCCGGCGGGGCCCAGTGCCCCCGCGTTGGCTGCCGGGGTTATTTACAGCCGGCTCCGCGGCCGGGCGGGGGCGGGGGCGGGGGCGCGGCCTGATTGACAGCGCGCTCCCCGGCGGCCGGCGCCCCCTCCCCCGCGCGGCCAGCAGAGCGGCCCCAGGCAGAGCAAGGAAAGCAATTAAAAAGGAGGATTTCTAAATTATTAACATTTGGTGAATTATTCAGGCTCTTGGTGCCTGAGCTGCCCTGGGGGACGGTGTCTGGTGTGAGGAATCCTGCCTCCTTTCCCGGCGCCCCCACCCACCTCTAGCCAGAAAAGCCCAGCTCCCCTGCCAGGAGGCGGCTGGGGCCTGGGAGGCTGCGTGCAGCAGGGCAAGGCGTCTGGCTGCATCCCGGAGTGACCCTGCAGAACGTCATGAGGTGGGGTGGACAGGGTCAGAGCCGACGGGGGGAAGGGTGGGGTCAGAGGCAGCCCCTCCAGCTGGGGTCTTCAGCACCTGGGGAGTCCTGGTGGCCAAGTGCCCACTGCACCCAGCCCGGCCTTTCTGCCCAAAGCCCCTCCCCAGGCTCCTGGGGCAGCCGTATGGCAGGTCAGCTCCCGGCTGGAGAGACGACTGAGACCCTAACCCTGTGGTCTGGAAGCTTGCTCGCCTGTGGAGGCGCTCCTTAGATGCCCACCGCCCACCCTCACCTGGGCCCACCCTCACCTGGGTCCACCCCGACTCCATTTCTCCATATATAAAATGTGAGTTAGCCACGAGCCTGGGGGACACGGAGGTGTGGCCTGCCCCAGGGGACTCGGGGCAGGACGGCTGGCAGACGGGACACTCCAGGGACCTGCATCCAGCCTGGCCTTGGTGTCAGCAGGGCCTCAGCAACAGGAATGGCCGATTACATGTGGGTGGGGAGGTGATAAGGGCTTGTGTGGCGGGATCGTGGGGGGCGGGGGGTCCTCACCGTGGCTGGGGAGGCCCAGGTGGTAGAGCCGCTGAGGGTCCTCAAAGGTGCCGGCCTCGCTCAGTGCCGACACGAGCCGGCGGTACTGGTCCTCCGGGGCCATGGTGGGCCCCAGCTCCGGGGGCAGCAGCAGTGCCTCTGCTGGGGAGGCCGGGATGAGAGGCTTCTCCAGGCACTGCTGAGGACCACCCACCTCTAGAACCCCTGCCCAAGGTCCAAGGGGCCCTCCGGGACTGCCCCCTCTCCTGGCGATCTGTCCCTCGCCCTGGCCAGGATCTTACCTTGGGGGGATTGGCTTCGTGCCCTCTTCTCCGAAGAGCAGTCGCTGCTGATATGGGAGGAGTGGCCCAGCCTCTTGCCCAACAGGTCACCTGCAGGTGGTAGTGAGTGCCCACCCTGCCTCTCAGGGAATGGACGGGGGACCCATCCCCTGCCCCAGCTCCGCCTGGACCACACCCACCGTCTCTCAGGCGGCCCTTGGTCCCGGTGAGTTCAGGCCTTGCTCAGCCGGGGGCCCAGGCTTCAGCGAAGAGGGCATCATGCCTGGCTGCGGCAGGGCAGGGGCACAAGGCATCCCTGGTCCCGGTGCGTGTGTGGAAGAGATTCATGGCAGGCACCCGGCTGCCCTACCAGCAAACCCAGCCTCTGGTGCCAGGTAGTGAGCCCCCAGTATCCCCCTGGAGAATAAATCCGGGCACCACCTTGCCCTCCTGGACAGGGGTGAGGGCAGGCTGTGCACAGTCTCGCGCCAGTGTGGGGTGAGGCGTGCTGGGCAGGACCTCACCCCTGACCTTTTCCTGCTCTGTGAGTCACTGGGCTGTGGACCGCCAAAGCCTCCTCGAGGCCTCTCCACTCCCAGGCTTCCTCCTTGGCCACACCCATCCCTGCCCTCAGAAGGCCCAAGTCCTCCTCTCTGGCCCACTCCTGCCTGAGCTAACACCCTGGTGTGGCTGTCATGCCCTTGTCCATCTGCCCAGCCAGGCCATGAGCTCCTGGGTGTACCACCTCCTCGGCCGTGAAGCCAGCCCAGTCCCAGCCCCAAACACAGCCCGGTAGCTGGCAGAGGGAAGGCCCAGGCCAGGCCCAGCCCACTCTCCTGAGGTCCTCCCTCTGGTTCTGCTGACCACACCCATTCCAGACCACAGCACTATGTACCCACCTCCCACCCAGCCCAAGCTCCTCCGAAGCCCCTGACGCCTCGCCCTGGGGATCTCCTGGGTCAGCCACAGTCCCTCCGACTCTGGCCCATCCTCATCCGCATGAGGCCTCTAGGTGGGTGGGGTAAGGGGCCACCCCCTGTGACCCAAGACCTCTATGAGGCCTAGGCAGTGGGACTCCCAAGCCTGTCCCCCCTGCCCGCCCTGCCGTCAGCTCCAGGCCTAATTCCTTTTTCTTATTCCCTTAATCTGTCATTTTTATCAGGCTGGGGAAGTGCGGCGGCCACACCGATCAATCCCACATTACAGCTGACAGAGCGGTGCTAATAACTTATTGATTCTGGCCGGGCAGCCGTCAGGCCCAGCCCCAGAGACAGGGTCAATCCCATGGCCTGGTCCAGGGTCCCCGCCTCAGTGACAGATTGGGGGACACCTGGCCGCACGCAGATCCAGGCACCGCTGCCCAGGCCCCCCACAGCCTGCTGTGCCAGAACTCAGCGGGCGGGGAGGTGTCCCGGCAGGGCTGGGGCAGCCTGGCTCTTTTCCACACCTGCTGCCTGGCCCACGGTGCACACCCTCGGGGTCGGCAAAGCCTCTCACTTCCTGGCAATCAGTTTTCCACTTACACAGTGGAAACGCCTCTCTCGTTCTGCTGGGGTCTAAGGCCTCCTCATAGCCTGGCAGAGGTAACGCTGGGCAGCCGGAGCGGGTGGAAGGGGGCGGAGCGGTGGAAGGGGCGGAGCGGTGGAAGGGGCGGAGCGGTGAAGGGGCGGAGCGGTGAAGGGGCGGAGCGGTGAAGGGGCGGAGCGGTGGAAGGGGGCGGAGCGG